CCTCGCACAGTCTCAGGATACTTAACGTGGACACTCGAGTCCTCCACACTCATAGGACGCACCACAATGGCCAGCTTGAAAATGATTTTTAACTTGTCTAGTAAAGATGACGTTGGAGCAATGGCCACCTGACTTTAAACTGTCATTATACTCACAGACCAGATAAAGACGGTCTCAAAGTTCCCACCATTCTAGCAGTTCTTCTATAGGCCCTTATCAACTCTGGAAAGCAAAGCTATAGCCCATGACTGAACAAAGCTACTTTATACTTACACTAATTACCTGTGTGCATGAAGACCAGCATCCTGAAATAGTAAACAGTCTAACTGAACAGCTTGCCAATAAAGCAAGACCAAATTCTAGCCCGGAAACATAGCCTAGTTTTGAGTTTTAAACTCAAGTTTTTTGGCATTCATCTATGTGTATATATTATGGAGGTCAGAGGACAACTTGCAGGAGTCAGTTCTCTCCTACTGTGTGGCTTCCAGGAATCAAACTGAGGTCATCAGACATGGCACAAAGCATCCTTAGTCACTGAGCCGTCTCAGTGGCCCTACTGCAAGACCAAGAAGACACAAATGACAAATACCTTGAGTAAAAGAGGGCTATACCACAAAATGTAGCTATTCAAAATAACAGGGGGATAATACAAATAAATTCAACAGCTTAAGCAAATAATCCAGTTAGTTGATGACTATAAACCACCAAAATTACTAAAGAAGAAATAATCAAAACACCCCTATCTCTATTAAGGAAACCAAATTGGTAGTTTAAAAAGCCTAAAAAAAAAAAAAAAATTAAAAAACTGGTCATGGTAGCACATACCTTTAATCCCAGAACTGGGAGGCAGAAGTGGGCAGATCTCTGAGTTTGAGGCCAGTATGGTCTACAGAGGGAGTTCCAGGACAAGCAGGGCTACACAGAGAAACTACTCAAAACAACAAGAAAAAACAGAAAACAAACAAACAAACCCCTTAGACCTTCATTGGATTTTGATAGCTGGGTATACTAAGCCCTAACCAGCTAACACGGCAAAATTGTGATAGACTTTTTAAGGTAATTTTCTAGTATTTTATCCTTACGGGAAAAAAATGTAAAAATGTTATAAACTTTTTCTAAATTGTTTTCTTTCTTAAAATGTTTCCGAAAACCACACATGATAGCATACCTGAATATAGGCTACATACTAAAAACTGTCTTAAAGAAAAGAGGGGGCTGGAGAGATGGCTCAGTGGTTAAGAGCATTGACTGCTCTTCCAGAGGTCCTGAGTTCAATTCCCAGCAACCACATGGTGGCTCACAACCATCTGTAATGGGATCTGATGCCCTTTTTTGGTGTGTCTGAAGACAGCTACAGTGTACTCCTATACATAAATGAATAATTCTTTTTTTAAAATGTAAAAATGAAAGAGAGGGGGAAAGGGAGAAAGAGAGAAAGAAAGAAAGAAAGAAAGAAAGAAAGAAAGAAAGCAAGCAAGCATGCCAGTAATCCTAGCAATTAGGAGCTTAATATAAAAAAACAAACAAACAAACAAATAAACAAACCCTAAGTTCAAGCACAGCCTGGGCTATATGGCAAAACACTGCCTAAATAAAATAAATAAAAATTTAAAAACAAATAAAATTTAGTACATTTAAAATTACATTAGGCTTAAGGTTGTTTGCTAGGTTACTATAAGTAGAAATAGAATTTTAATTAGAAAGATACCTAAATACAGAGAACAACGTTTAAATCCAGACCTGAGAAGATTCAGGAAAAAGGTAAAATTATTAGAACTTAAATACTTAGCCAGGGATGGTGGCTCACACCTGTAATCCCAGCATTTGGGAGACAGAGACAGGAGCATTACTGTGAGTTAGAAGCTATCCTAGGCTACAGAATAAGACTTGGTCTCAAAATAAACAGCCTGGAAGCAGGCAGATCTCTGTGAGTTTAAGGTTGGCCTGGTCTACAGAGCAAGTTCTAGGACAGCCAAGGCTACACAGAGAAACCCTGTCTCAAAAAACAAAACAAAACAAAAACAAAAACATACCACAAATAGAAAAATAAAATAAATACTTTCTCCACTCCTTTTTTTTTTTTTTTTGGTTTGGTTTTTCGAGACAGGGTTTCTCAGGGTTTCCCTGTCTCTGACAGGGACAGCCCTGGCTGTCCTGGAACTCACTCTGTAGACCAGGCTGGCCTCGAACTCAGAAATCCGCCTGCCTCTGCCTCCCAAGTGCTGGGATTAAAGGCCTGCGCCACCACCGCCCGGCCCTTCTCCACTCCTAACAAACAAAATTTAAATTCCTCAAGAAAGTGGCCCTTAGCAGCCAGGACATGCCTACAATCCCAAAGCCTGGGAGGCTAACACATGAGGGCCTCTAAGGTAACTCCAGTTTGTGAGGACTACAAAGTGACACTCTCAAACAAACAACAACAAAAACCCCTCATACCTGAGGAAAGCAGCGTCCACTGTCCTGGTGACTCTGCAGTACACTGAGGCTGGCTCTGCTAGTCAGGCTTCTCACTGGACTCCACAGCTGTAGGAAGGAACTGCAACTCCTGACCTGAACCGCTGGTGGACCCCTCACAGAAACTCTAATAGGAAGCCCCCTGAAGGGCCCAGGAGCAAAGAGGAAGGAGCTAACCCCTCTCGGCTATCTAGCCTTCCAGTCTCCCTATAGCGCCCCCAACAGGCTGGCTGGCAAAGATGAACACGGCATCACAAAAATAGATGGGCTATAGAGACAGATTGACAACTGATACACAAGTGTCTACTAGTAAGGGAATACAAACACACTGCCTTGGGAAAGATGGAGGAAACAGAAGGGCTCTTAAGCCAGGTATAGGAGTCTCAACTCAGCCACAAAATATACAGGAACTTAAATTCTAAGTTAGAAAAGGGTTGGGGGCCGGGCAGTGGTGGCGCACCTGCCGGGCGGTGGTGGCGCACGCCTTTAACCCCAGCACTTGGGCAGCAGAGGCAAGCGGATTTCTGAGTGAGTTCCAGGACAGTCGAGTTCCAGGACAGTCAAGGCTATACAGAGAAACCCTGTCTCGAAAAACCAAAAACCAAACAAAACAAAAAAAAGACCAAAAAAAAAAAAGAAAAGAAAAGAAAAGGAAAGAGAGAGAGAAAGGTTGGGAAGGTGATTTGGAATTTTTCTTTAAAAAGAAAAAAGGTACCACACATCCTTAATTTTGGAGCTATACCTCAGCTCCTGTAAAGCGATACTTTTAGAGATGGCCCCTGTGGTTAAGTGTGTGTGCGCCTCCTGCAGAGGATCCAAATTTAGTCCCCAGCACCCATGTCAGGCATCTCATAACCACCTGTAACTCCTGCTCTAGGGGATCTGATGCCCTCTTCTGGCACACAGGTGTATATAAAGATAGAACACTCATATACACAAATAAGTAAATCTTAAAAAACAAAACCTTTTTTTAAAAACTACATATGACATGGTGTAGTTACTCAAACAGGCTGAATTGTAATTCCACAGGAATTCACATCCACACAGACTCTGGGAGTGCGACTGTTGTGGATTGCCCTGGTGATTTTGATGCCAATCCTGCAATCCTGCTTTCCCCAGAGGAGTGAATCACTTACTGACTTCATATGACTTCTCCCCATTTTTAACTGGTAAAATAAAGGCTAAAGCCTGTGATTGGGCAGTGGAAGGGAAAATTGGAGCTGAAAGTTTTAGAGAGGGGAAAGAAGAAGAAGAGACAGAGGGAGATGGAGAGAGACAAGATGGAACCAGAAGAAGATGGAACTGACCCACATGGTCTAGAGAAGCCGCAAGTAGCTAGGGATTTCACAGATGGGCAATAAGCAGTGTAGGGCACATTTGCCCAATCTAGGTGAGCAGCTTGTATTTATATCAATTGAGTTTTGTGTTCTTTGTGTGGGTGTTTTGAGGTTGGAGACTTACTATTATAAATGTGGCTGGTTATTATAAGTCTCTAGCGTTATCATTTTACAGGGCTAAGGGAATCTGAGTACGCAGTAGCTGGCTTTCTGCAGGCTGGCCACAGGGGTTGGCTGGCCTGAAGTGCGAGCGGTTTGGCAGCAGCTGGCCATGGGAACCATGGGGGGTGGGCAAGACCGTCATTGCCAGGTTAGCATGGATCATTTTTTTAAAACTACACACTACATGTGACCTTACTTGGGATAGGTTTCTGCAAAAATAATCAGTTAAAAGGAAGTTGTGCTGGATTTAACTTGGCTCTGTGGGTAGTGATTCTTGTTCTTCCCAACAGAGTGCAGTATAAAAACCCAGAACAGGTGCACAAGAAAGCACGCCATGTTGAACATACTGCCACAAGCCAATGAACTCAGGAAAAGGAAGAAAGGGTCCTCAGGAAGGAGTATGGCCCTGCATTCACCTCCATTTCAGTCCTACGGACTACACAAGAGCCTGAAGACACTCATCTCTACTGCCTTTGTCAGCGCTCTGTAAATGCTGAGCCATCTCTCCAGTCCAGTTTTACTGTTTGAAGCCAACCACCTTGTGATCCTGCTAGGGACAACCCAGGAAACGGATCTTTGTGTGGAATGAGAAAACAGGGAGAAAAGAACAAAGAAATCCACCTGGGCTTTCTAAAATGCTTGCAAAGTCAGCTTGCCTTTTAATTTTTTTCTGGGAAAAGCAGCTTTCTCAGGCATAGGGACTTGCCTTAAATGTTTTATTACAATTAAAATTTCACAAACAGATCAATTAATTTCAATCAAAATAACTCATGTTTACATGGTATTTATAGACAAGCTGTACAATAAATATATAAAATGCATTCGGTCTGTAGTTCAGTCATCTTCTTCTTCTTCTTCATCACTGATCACATACTTCTTATGCTTTTTATTTGCTTTGTCATCGTCTTCTGCTTTCCTCTTTCCAGAAGATTCACCTTCCTGAACAGATAAAGACATTTACAGTCTGAAAGTCAAGACGTTTCTCGGGAAGTTTATCAAGATAGCTGAGTTGAATGACTCAGTACTAAAGTAACTTTAAATCTTGCAGCTGCTGGCTTCAGCAGCAGCACGTGTACAAAAGTTTGGAATGCTACAGAGAAGATTAGCATGTCCCTGCGAAAGGATAGCACACAAGTTATGAAGAGTTCTATATTCCTACAAAAAAAAGTGCAGGGCATGGTGGTGCAGGGCATGATGGTGCAGGTGCAGGGCATGGTGGTGCAGGGCATGATGGTGCATCCGTTTGATTCTAGCACTTGAAATGCAGGAAGCAGAGGCAGGAGGATCTCTGTGAGGTATTAACAAGCCTGGTTTCCACAGTGAGTTCTAGCCCAGGCAAGTCTACAAGTGGTAACATAAATAAATAAAATAAATAAATAAATAAATAGAGAGAAAATAACAAGATAACTTTGCAGAGTTCAAGCCCAGTGGATTGTCCTGTACAGGAAAACAACTCTAGGCACAGAAACCACAAGGACCTGGGCAATGGAGTCTGCTCTAAAAAAGGTTAGGACTCCCTGAACAAAGAAGCACAAACGAGCCGGGCAGTGGTGGCGCATGCCTTTAATCCCAGCACTTGGGAGGCAGAGACAGGTGGATTTCTGAGTTCGAGACCAGCCTGGTCTACAGAGTGAGTTCCAGGACAGCCAGGACTACTACACAGAGACACCCTATCTCAAAATAAACCAAAAAAAAAAAAAAGATTTGAGTGGCTGAAAGAACTGGCATGGTACTTCTAAAAATGTATGTTTTTCCAAAAGCTCTTTGACATGGTACAGCATCAGCTCGAGGTCAGGGCTCACCCAAGGAAGTCTAAACAGCACCAGGTCCAGCTCACTGTCAGGGCTGGGCAGCTGCGGAAAGCCTGCCAAGACCGATTGATTCCCTAGAAGCTACAAGCAATCACAGCATAGTAGCCCCAGAACTACAATGGAGCCCTTCAGGATGCCCATACTTCAAGCACACAGAATGCTGCCTTACTGAACACAGCTGAAGCATGCCCCTGTGCCATACATATGGAAGCAATAAAAACAAGACTTAACTAGAGCTTGATAATGCAGTCATGAACATGGGTTCCTACAGACACAGGCAGCTGTGACATAAGGCAGAAAGGAGTGGCAGAAGAGGGGAGCAAGGCCCTTCGGATTAACAGTTCCCACCTGTGCTCTCCAGTCTCTATCTGATCTGTTCAATGCAGTGTCCCCTTTTCTTAGTGCCCCAGGGAACAGAGAACAAGGCCGTCCCACTTTCCCCATTTCACTCTCTTTGAGGGAAGAAACCGAGGCTTCCCACAGGTTTTACTCTGAGCAAAAGGGAAGGCACTGGGTAAAGCACCCTTCTTTACACTGTTCTCCATTTAGGCTGAGGAAAGAAAGGCAGTGTTCCATGTCAACCTAGACGTCACCATGTCCCCACAATCCTACAGTATTGACTATAGTAGCTCTCGTAGGCAGCAGTTATAAGGCACACAACAAAGGTTAGACTCAGGGAAGACAGCTGCCTTGCCTCATGGCATGCAAACGGGACTGGAGGTATGGGGAACCCTCAAATTCTATGATGCAGCTGATGATAACCTTTTTCCCCTATATCTGTTTTTTGAGATGGGATCTCAGTCATAGCACAGGTGCCCTAGAACTCACTAAGTGTAACCTCTTGGGACCTATGAACCACCATGGGGTAACCTAAATTGCCCTTACCCTCCTCTCCTATTCTGTTCCTGATGAGGGCATCCTGAGAATTGAACATTCCCTAGTCTTAGAAGCACAGCATGGCTCCTGGCCTTTGAGGGGGATTTGTTATGCAAAACAGCAAGAAGGTTCCTCTCGACTGTCTTCACTGTCACCCACCACTGAGCTGCCTCATTGGAAGAGGCAGAGGCTTGGAGGCAGAGATAAAACACTTGACAGGAAAGGTAAAAGAGTTCAGAGATTCTGAGGGTGCTGGGGGGACCTGGAGGAGGCGCTGCTGTCAGAGAGCCTGAAGGTCATTGAGAGGCAGGTCTAAAGCACAGGGCTGCACTTTTCCCAGCCCAGCCAGCCACAGGGGAAGCTGTCAGCCACATCTCTTACTAGGCATACACATTTCCATGGCACTTCTCAATTCTCACAGTTCTGCTTGCCAAGGAGTAAGCATCTGCTTAGAGGAGAGCCCCCGTTTGCCAACTGTTCATCACACTGTAAACTCACTATTGAGATGTTACTTCATCTAACTTACAACAAATATGTTGCAGAATAATGTTAAGAAATTCTGTCTGTAGTGAGCTACTCCCAAGAATATCACAAAATACTACATGTGGTGCTCAACAATAACCTAAGAACATACTTTTGCTGCTCATGAGAAAAGAGTTCAAAAAAGTCCAAAAATGAGTAAATCAGCTTAAAAGCAGAACAGGAAAATATCTACTTCCTTACAATATGGCAGACCAGTACTTAGAACAGCTCTCTCACTGAAAATAGCAAATGATGACAGTAAAGCAAAACAAAAGCACAACAGGGGCCAAAGAAATCAGCGAAAGCAAGAAGGCAGAGCAAAGCAGGGCATGGAGCAGGCACCTTCTCAGAGACACTGAGCTATGTGATCACTCCAGGCAGGCAGCACAGCAGCCAAGGGCCCAAAGCCTTCCGTGTAAAAACAGACTGGGGTAGAAGCCTAGCACTGGTTCTCTGAGTCAGGGGTCCACAAACTTAAAATATGTGTGTAGTATATGGAGGTGTACTCTGTACTACAGCATGCACGTAGAGGTCAGAGAACACGCTGGTAGTCAGCCCTCTCCTTCCACTATGCAGATTTCACAGATCAAACTGCATTGTCAGGCTTCGCAGTCAAATCAAGCACTTTCATTGTCCAAGTTATCTAGAGAGATTCACTCTGGGAATAGTTTCAGGTGGTCCTAGACAGCTATGCGCAGAGCACCTTGCAGAGACACGCAGATAAGCCAGTCCTGGCTGTGCAAGCCTGTAGTACAAGTCTCAGCATCAGCAGGAGGATCAGAGTAAACTCAAGGCCTGCCTGAACTACATGAGACTTCAAAAACCAAAGCCCAAACCAAACCACACCAAGAAAACCATCTTCAAAGAAATTAATCTAGTCATCAAAAATTCCTATGAAGGGGCTGGAGAGAAGGCTCAGCAGGTAACAGCATCTGCTGGTCTAGCAAAAAACCTAAATTTGGTTCCTAACACCCACGTTAGGTGGCTTACAAACCTGTAACTTCAGCTCCAGGGGATCAGATGTCCTCTTCTAGCCCCTGTGGGTCCCCACATACATGTGCTCACATATACAGAGAGAGATTCACACACACAGACATAAATAAAAATAGGTCTAAAAAAATTCTCATGGCTATCAATTCAGTAAACCAATCCAAATCAATCATTAAATCAGAGAATGCAAAAAGAAATATGGTATCATATTTCTTTGAAGAAGAAATAGATACAGCCAGAAAAATGTCCTGGTTTGTCTGGGTCTCAAGACTCACAGGTTGAAATGCTAGTCTCTGAGATTAGGAGGAATTTTAGAAGGTGAGTGTTGTATTAACCTCTCTTCCTAGGATTGAAATGTTCTATCCTGCAGGAAGCTCCATAAGCAGGAAGGTAAACAACCCAAAACGACTTCAGGAAGTCCCTGAAACTGACCAGACTCACTATACCCATTCCTAAAAAAGTAAGCAATAAAAGCTGAGTCCCTCTCAGATGAAGTGAAGCTGAGCTACAAAGACTGAGATGAGCAGAGCTGCCAAGAAGACTGTTACAAGCTGAGAAGTCTCTAAGACCACCCCAGCCACCTGAAAGAAGCAAAAACCAGCCAAGCTGCTGCAAGTTTAGACCAAAGGAGGCCCCTGGAAAGGACAGTCCAACCTGTTGAGGTACCTGCAGACCAAGCAGTGTCCAGACATTGGTCTGTCATTCATTCACTATCTGGGGTGAGTAGAGTTGTGTCTCCCTAGGGAAAGTTTTGTCACACAACAGTAATCAGGGCAAAGTCAGTGCCTCCTGAATTGGAGCAAGTACTTCTACAAATGTGGGCCCAAGCCTGGCCTCACCCCATGCACCTTGTAGACTAGGGCCTTTCTGAAGAAGTCATTTGTGTCTGTCCTGGAGCTCCTTGTCATCCCAGGAACCAAGTCCTAAGTACAAGGTAAGCCTGGAACTCAGGGTGCGCGGCTTACCTCATCACTGTTGAGCTTCTTTGCTTTGAGTAATCTTTGAGCTTTGTCTTCTTCCGAGCCCTCATCACTGTCTGAGGAGTAGATTCTGGCCCGTTCCTCTGAAAACAAAGGGATTACATGGACTCATTTTTGAAGAATCTATTCATTCTTGGATTTTCTCTCCAATAAACCTTGAGTTTTCTCTGTACATTTTCCACAGAGGAACAAAATAATTTTTATTTGTCCCACTCTTCCGTGTTGTGTACATGTGCACACGCATGTGGAGGCGTCAGGAATCAGCCTTAGCCGATCTTCCACCTTATTTAGCGAGGCAGGGTCTTCCTGCCAACCCTAGAGCTCACCAATACAGCTAGTCTTGCCAGCCAGCTCACTCTGCGGATTTCCTGTCTCTCCCTTCCAAAGCTGAAGTCCAGGTCACCCCAGATCACACCACCAAGCATTTACACAGGTTCTGAGGATCTGAGCCCCAGTCCTCATGCTTGCATGACAAGTGTAACTGAGCCTCCTCAGGCCCAGTTTAACTTTTCTTTTGTTTTAAATATGTTAAAATGAACCAAGTCTATTCTTTCCAAATAGAATGCCTTCCAGCTCCCTATATCGTTGCTAGGTGAGTACTGTACTATGCCGGGAACCACTGACCTTGTCTACCTGGTTTAAATCTTTGATAAACTGGATATTAAATGCCCTAATCCTTGAATGCATCTCTAATATTTTGCATGAAAAAAGTTACAGGTAAGATTTTTGTGATAAATTAGCATTGGCAGCGTAAGGAAAGCTGCTGTACTAGGTTCTCAAAATAGAACAAATGATATGCATGCCTGTAATCTCACACTCAGGACGCTGAGGCAGAGGAAGATCGGGAATCCAGTCCATCTTCTGAGTCTGCTTTTCTTTCTTTCTTTTTTAAGTACATTGACTTTATTTAACGTGTGGGTGTTTTGCTTGTATGCATGTCTCTGCTTCACGTATGTGCCTAGTGCCTGCAGAGGCCAT